ATCATGTTACCAGAACATGTGGACAAGCTTTGTAACCATTCAGAACACAGCCAACGGTCCTTGTCATTCCCAAGAGAACCTATGCTGGAAAACTGACCAATCACAGGCCACTTGGAGCTGATGTCATCAGAGCTAGGTCCATGTTGGTGAAGAACCTAAGTTTCAAAGACAATTATCTTATTCTTAAGGTATTGCTACAGTAGATGAATTCAAAATTTGTTCAATTCCATTGAGTGAAACTTTAATGCTCTTTTAGACAGGCACCTAACTTTGCTAAAGGGTGATATTTGCTAACAACTCAAACAAATTCCAAATTTTAGACTTCTTAATTTATACCAATAATTCATGATCACCTTACGAAGTTTAAGATGGCCCCATTTGGTTTTATTGACTCCAGTGTGTCTCCCAGGAACAGAGGCTATTAGGCGAACCCTAAAATCAATCAAAAGTCTCTCCTATATTAATACCAACAGAGTGCATTTCAATTGGATGTCTCAACCACAACTAAACAAATCAAAACAACAAATTAGGATCCACGGAAGAAAATATCATAAGGAGGCAATGACAACTCAATAACTTCCTGAAAAACAAATGATCAAATAAGAAAAAAATATTTAATGAACAATATACCTTGCAGATGACATATCATGTTCCCGAATATGTTTCTTCCATTCATCTAGTGCACTACCCCCATATGCTGCCAAATATTCCTGTAATGGTTTTTTTTAGACTAATTAAGATGAAGCTTTGCTGAAAGACATCACATCATTGGGGATGCAATGAATTTAAAGAACCTCAAGGTACTTTCCTTGTACAGTGCATCTCTTCAGTAGAGGGTTGCAAAGAGATCAAGCTCAAAATTAATATGTGACTGTACACATGAATTTTACTGAAGGCAAGGTAAGGGAAGACTTGATGTTATTCCTTTCAAATTTGTTTAGAGTAAATGTGAAACAGGATCAGAACCTCCCCCCCCTCCCACCCCCAACTGGCCTTCCTTCTTCAGTTACTGGGTGTTTAAAATTTGGAAAGCTATCTGGCTTAGTTTTCAGAAGAAATTTGATTTCTTTAGGCAAAAACCCCTCATTTATCACTTCCTTTTCCCTGTTAAAAATTATATCTAAAACTCTAACTAACCAATAAAATACAAAATGGTATGAAATTGACCAGCTGTATAAATTTTAACCATCCCTGTAAATGTCCAAAACATTTCACTTTCCCCTCTGACCAAAACTTTTTTTGACTCTCCCTTGACCTGTAAAAATTTTTCTCCCACTGGCCTTTCCTGATCTGAGCTAAAACTGAAAAGTGTCATGTCACACATACCACAACAGAGTACAAAAACTACCATAAGTTGCAGTCTCTGTACAAAGAAAAATGCACAAATGACCTGGTCGTACATGCAAATACTCCATGATCAAAGATAAAATCCACATGCCAAACTATTATTAGTTAGTTTGGCAATTTCCTTACCAATAAATCCTCTTTAAAATTAGTTCGTGAATAGTTTGCATATTCTTCACCAGATAACTTGGAAAGTTTAGGAAACACTGGACTCATCCAAACCCTGAAAAAGAAACAAATGAATATGACAAGCCATGTTGTGTGAGAAGGGAAATTGGCTTGTAAGGGGAAAATTTCCTCAAGAATCAAATGAATGCAGTTATTGCACCAACCATTACACTCATGAATCTTCTGCACGAGAGTATATCCTTTAAATTAGAATTTTACCCAAGCTAGGCATGATTTTTGTTCATTTTAATTAGAAATTAATGCAGTCAGTTCCACTAACATTTTCAAGTTATTAATCCTGTTTCCATTGTATGGTATGGTTCTCAAACAAAAGGCCAAAAGGGAGAATTACAGAAGGAAATGTTTAACAAGTCTGCTCTTCAGTTACAGTGTGCTTCCTCTTCATTTGATGACATATTCAAGGGGAATGCACCTTTTTTATTAAAAAAATTCAGAACAAATAATTTTGATGTACCCTTGTGTTTTCTGGTCCCAGTCCATGGCAATGAGATTTGCTGTGGTGATCACAACTTTTAAGCCCTCTTTGTACAACAGTAGCATCATTTTGCTGAAAAAAAAAATTATGAGAACTAAACTTCTCAAAAACCTGAGAAAATATATCTATTGTGATCATTAGGAGAGAAGCTCTCAATTGACCATTAATTTTTTAATTTCTACTGCAGTGTTGAGGAATGGGTGAACATTTGCCGTTTTCCTTTAGCTTGGCTAGCTGCATAAAACTTCATACAGTGGATTACATGGAAAGTGACGCATCTAGTCTAGTATATAAAATATTTATTCATGCCAGCATTATCATGTGACTTGAGTTTTATTGCTCTTTCAGTTTTCCCCTTTGATCAAGGTACTTTAGGGGCTTGCCAGAAAAAGTGAAAAGCTTGTAACTTAATGAATAGAAAATAAAGATCATTCACTACCAACAATCACTGTTATTTTAAAAAGGATTTCCTTCAGTTTTATCATGAAAGTGTAGCAGGTTATCATCTTTTTGTTGTATCTCAGAGGTATTGTAAATACTCAAGTTTTGAAGCTGAATTAATCGGTTTCTTATAATTTGCAATTCTGTTTGTGTGCAGTAATGATGACATCTTCATTCTTGGATGTACCATCACAAGACCAACCTATGATGTGTTCCAAATGCTTCTAGTCTGGCCTGTTAAAAAGAGACAAACCATTATTATTTTATCATTATAATTATACTTCACTAGTGATTTAATTGACTGATTTTTTAAAATTAAATTAAGTTTAATGACTGACTACTAAATATAAAAATGATAACAATTTAATATTGAGAATCACTGATTTGATTAGATAGAGGATTTATCTGCAGATTTATCAGCCAGTTAAGAAATTGTCTGAATCTGAATGCCTTGGTGTTATCCTTTGGATGATTTGTGTTGTATGAGGACCCTAATTTCACTTATTTCCAGAAATGCATGCAGTAACAAAAATGGCAGATTTGATGAAATTTCGTCAAACTGAGTGAATGTTCATGGATTTGACAATTTTGGCAAATATTCGTCAAATTCATCAACCAAGTAAAACTAGCTTAACAGATTTGATGATTTTGAGAAATTTTCCCCATTCTGGTAACTGTATGCACTTCTGGAAATATCTCCATGCCAGTGACTGCACAAACATCAAACTTACAGCAAACAGTTTAATATTTGGATATGGTTCTGCTTCTTTATGAAGTTGAGCCTTTGCCTCTCTCTGATTTCCATGAACGATTAATAAAGGTTTGGACCTGAAAACATATTTGAATTGTTAAAAATCTCTTTTATGAATTTTTTGCAACCCCAAAATACACATAAAACCCAAAAACATTCCATACTAAGTCTTCAACTACCAATAAGGAATGACCATTGTTTTTAAATACTTGAGCATACCAAGTTGGTAATAATCCCTTCAACTACAGTGTTCATTGTAACCTCTTCCATTAGAGCTAAATGTTACCGCTTCTGAGAGAAGCAGCGAAAAATTTTTTGGTTAGATGGATGCCTCCATGATTAGTTCCTTTCAGACTGAAATTATAGTTGGCATTTCAGTTCAGGATAAGACGCCATGTAATCAAGATTGTTCTTTGAATAGAAGACAAATTAGACCATAATCCTTAATAAAGTAATTGAGACCCACAAATGTTGGTAAACAATAACTTGTTTGTTATTCAAAGTGAAACTTAGTGCTTCGTTTTTACCTTTCTTTTGGTTCTTTTAATTGCCACATGCTCGTTTCCAAAATTTAAATTATTCTTAAGCTATGATCACACAATACTTAATAGGTAATTTCTTCATGTAATGATTTCAGTTGACCGCTTTGATGTAAGAATTCCCCAAGGAATAAAGAAATAAAGGATCCCATATTGGTTTGGTGTTTATCGCACACACGTGTATCAACTTGGGAATCAAGTTTTCAATTCTAGCTTGAAGAGAAACATTAATATTCATGCAGATGTTCACTAAGCACCTCAGCCCTATCCCCTCAAAAATTACCTCAGTAGACCTCAACAGTATTCCCATATGAACTTTCATGACCAAGAAGAGTTTTAGTTGGAAGATAAATTTTAATTCTAAATGAACCAGCCAAAAAGCTTTAGATAACAGTTCTGCATCAATGCTTCACTTAAAAAAATATGCTTGATTTTTGGCAATTTGACAGTTCAGTGTCAAAACATAATAATCTTGACCTTTTATCTGCTGGGTACTGCTCCATCAACCATGGAATATCAAACATGTAGTTGAACTGAAAAAAATCAATGTGCATAATAATAATTATTGTTGAATCTCATCTGATAATTACAATCTAATATTATTAAAAAAGAATACTACTTATTATTAATTAATATCAAGCACTCATTTTTTCACTCATGTACCTGTGCTGATGCCTCCAAGTTCCCCATTGTATTTGAAAGGATATCTAGTTGTATAAGATATATCGTAGAGCAATAAAATTTGGTAAGTACAAGTAAAATATCAGTAAATCAAAGCACAACTCTTACATGACCTACAAGATGAGCCACAAACAAACGAACAAACAAACAAGACATGTTCTTATATTTCACACTATAATTAAATTCAGAGAATTTACTTGATAATAGCTCATTTTAACCCTTTAACTCCCAAGATCTCATTTATTTTTAACTCTCTTTACTATCTGCCATATAATTCTTGTGATGTTAGTTCAGAGAATTTGATACTGGATCAACTATTAATCCCCTAATTGATATTGTTTATTCTCATCACTTGTCTGCTTGATATTGTATTGATATTGTGAGGAGAAATTATGTCTTGGTCACTCATGGGAGTTAAAGAGTTAAAGAACATTTTTACATCCCCCCTAAAACCACCTCAAGATGACAATTCAAAAGACAAAGACTAACTGATTGACTGATTGCTTTATCTATATATAGTAAAAAACTCCTATAGCATAATTTAGAATTAAAACATTCTAATTCTGCCAGGCTAATCTAACTTTTAAAAGAAAAGGGTACCTTTAATGCTAACTGCCATATTTTTGTTATTAAATTCAGAAGGAATTCCTCGAACAGTGGTCAGTAAAAATGGCAAACACTTCATGTCATTCTCAGTGTCTTTTGGTAATGATGATGAAGACGATGAAAATGACGGCTCACTGGTTGTCAAACTACTAGTTAACTTCTGTCTTTTAGCTGGCGGAGACTTCTCCAACTTGTCATCATCATCATCATCAGTGTCAGAGTCATAACCTATGAGGGGTCCATTAGAAAAATAATTATTATCTATTTATTACCTTTTATAAAATTTGTTGTGAAACTAACATACCAGTGTACACACAAAAAAATATCTCTAAAATGTTGTTGCCGTCAAAAAGTTTAGGGTAGAGCAGTTGGATGTGAGATATATAACTGAAGGCAGTGTAATTTGGTTTTTGGTGATTTTGTTGTCTGGTCAGCTTGAATCTTTATCTTGCAGCTTAATGCAGCTTCATCTACACTGGTCAGAGCATGATCAACATTTTGGAATTATTTCAGGTTTGGAGTTCTCTTGACTTCTCCATAAATAGGCAGTCAACAAAGAGTTATACAAGAAAATTGGCCATAGAAAGTTTGTTGTACTAACTATTTGCTTTTCTTCCAGTCAGTGATATATATAATGTAAATTTTACGCCAGTAATATAATTTAATTATATATTAATTTATTATAATTAATCTACCGACTGAGATAATGGCGTAAAATCTTACAGTATTTAGACTGTGTTAGTCACATATTACGCCGTTATATATATTCCCTGCTTTTAAGTCTTACATTTGCTAAATTCGTTTTTCCAGATGGAGAACCAAGGTGAAAATCTGTAATCAATAAACTTGGTAAAATCGCTTCAGTCGATACTGATAATCGAAAAATCAATAAATATTTATCACTCATCATGCACTTAAGGATTTATATTTAGCGTTTACCGATAACTTAATTATCGATTTTTCGATTATCAGTATCGACTGAAACGATTTTACTAAGTTATTAATTAAAACTAAGTGGAATATCGATTTTATGGATTGCCCAAATCCCAAGGAGTTGAATGTTTGCGTTAGTTATTAACTTCCCAGTAGCTTAGACATCAATTTACGTAAACTTACCTGGGTGTCTATATTCCTTAAAATGAACCGGATTTTTACGGTAACAATCTGTTCCGTATCTGCACATCGGTCTCCTATCGATCTTTCCAACTCTCTTCTCTTTGTCACCCATGGGGCTACCTCTTTTTGGGCTTTATATGCTCGTTGGATGCCTTAAATTTTTTTTCTCAAGAAACACAGCAAAAGAAGGTTTAGCTCGTCAAAATTGCCTTTACACACGCAGGATTCACATGAACTAACATCTCCGAGGGAAAAATTTAAACTTTTGCCGCCATCTTTTGTGCTGACGCATTGCGGGCGCAATTTAAGCATGCGTAGTATAGAGCCCGCCATGTTTAGATTTTCCGTCATTTTTCCGTTGCTAAATGTTTTGCTGAGTAAACGGCAATGGCGGAAGTACATGTTATAGGTGAAATCATCGGTGCAAGCGGGTTCCCCTCACATAATTTATACTGCAAATGGTCTGTCCATGTTGACGGTTTGTGGAAACTTTTAGCTGGACAAAAAGAGGGCCAAACGCAAGTGGACAACCCCCAGAACGAGGATTGTGCACGATGGTGCCATCCCATAGACTTGCATTTTGCGACCAAAGGACTGAAAGGATGGCCAAAGTTTCATTTCCAAGTTTGGCACCAAGACTCTAATGGACGAAACGAGATTTATGGTTATGGTTACTGCCATGTGCCAACATCACCTGGAACTCACAACGTTGATTGCGTGACATGGCGACCTCTCGGTTCGAGCAAGTCAGAACAGCTTCGTAGCTTTTTTGTCGGCGGTGCACCACAGTTAAAGACTTCAGATGTTATCTACACTGGTGGAGACCGATATAAATTGAGAACGATTGCCATGGGCTCGATACATTTGCAATTAGGCGTGATAACGAGAAACTTTGATAAATTTGGGGTAGAATGTTAATATAAATATTTTGTTATGTTTTAAAACAAAATAATTGACTTTACATCTTGCCAATATTGGACGAAACTAAGATTCAAAGCTTAGCTTCCTCTACCAGCTGCAGGGCTACTTCAAAATCGTAAGCTGAGGAAAGTGTTTCAACTAAAAGTTAACTTTTGCACACATGCTTCATTGTAGTTGTTGTAAACCCAATCTATAAATAAGCCTACCGTGGCCTATCAATCCACCAAGGGTATCTACAAGGAAGATTTATTACTCTCAAAAAGTCGCTGAAAGCCAAACTGTAATCGTGATTTATTTAAACTGTTGCATAGCTGTAATAAATACAGTAGACAGTGTGCACTTCTTTGGTTGAAAACGTTCAAAATATTGATGTTGTTTCAGTTTTATCAGTTAAATGGTTAAAAAAAAAAATGCTGAATCAAACACTATCCTAAAACCTGTTATGTCCTTGATAAAGGCTAAAAGTCCTAAAGCCCTAAAAATTATAACTGATATTTACAGTAATATTCTGTTGTATTTAACGACTACTCACCAAAGTGGAGGTCACTTGTGGTGGATATTTTCAGAGGAATAAAGTGACAAAGTAAATATCCACTGCAAACTACCAACACTGAGGTGAATATTTGTTTCAGTAAATACTATACTTTACTCTTCCTGCAACAATTACACTATTTTCAAATTCTCCTTGTCAACAACAAAAATGTGTATTGAGAGGAGTATGGAGAATAACTTTGGAATATTGACATTAAAAGATTGTCCAGGGTTAGTGCTTGAACCAAATACACAGGATGTTTTAGTATATTTTTGTTCTATTTACCAGTGTTGGTATCTTTACATGTAAATTACCTATTTTACATTGCACACTCACTTTTCCATTTAAAAGTTTAAAACTGAATTATGTGATAAAGAGAAATTTTCATGAATAATGAAATTATGATAACTATAATAATTTTCTTAACCCTTTAACTCTCATGAGTGACTAGGACCAAATTTCTCCTTACAATATCAATACAATATCAAGCAGACGAGTGATGAGAATAAAGAAAATATCAATTAGGGGATTATAAGTTGATCCAATACCAAATTCTCCAAACTAACATCACAAAAACTGTATGACAGACAGTAAGGAGAGTTACTAGTGAGATCTTGGGAGTTAAAGGGTTAAAGAACTAATGCTATGTTAAGTGTATTGTAAACTATTTGACCCTCTTGAGACAAGATTGTGGTATTCACTAGATGAGCTTTTCATTTACAAAGGTAGCCTTTTTCTGAACAGTCTTGATCAACTAAATAATCAATATTTTTAGCGGTCAAGGAGAATTGCCTTTTCAGAACCACCAAGTTAAGAAAGTCAATGGCCAACATGTCCTAACTTATGTTTTTTTTTTTTAACTTAAAACCAGGTAAATTGTGGGGGAAATTTGGCTTAATTATATATAGTTGTGCAAAGATACTTGGCTATGAGATGCAACCCAGTAAATGACGTGCCTTATAATAAAAAAAATTCAGTAATCCATCATCTGTTCCTGAATCTCTCAAGATTTTCCGATCCAAAACTTGAAATAAGTAACAGACAGTGAGCACATCAATGCTATCAAGGCAATGATTATGACGTCAATTATCACTATCTTACAATTGCTTCACTCCAGACTGAAACACAAGTGGCCTTCTTAATGCAAACTTAAACTCAAATGCCCCCCTTGCATGTTAAAGAAGCAAAGAGGGTTGAATCTGGGACATGTTCATAGTTTACATTTCATCATCTTCAAAGCCTAAATCCTCTTCTGGAAAGTCACCCACAGTGACATCTTTGGGTTTGATAAATCCTCCATATTTGGGTGGACATGTGAAGTATCTTTTTCCAGCAACACTGAAAATGGAAAACAAGCAACAGTTACAGTCATTAGACATGAAGGTTGGTATGACATGAATAAAATGAAGCTACAGTACCCTTACTGTAGAATTTTTAAATAGCTTTGTCTGATATAAGTCTCCCCCTGCTTGACGGCAGGTAGAAATGGCATCTAATCTCAAGAAATTTTAAAAGTAAGATCGGCATCATGCAGCAACAAGTTAAAAAAGTCAAAGTTTGATGGTATGTTGCAGGATAACATGGAATTCAGGTTAAAATTATTGACAGTGTAGATGAGAATATTAATTTCTTTTTTTGGTAAGAATAATGAAGATTGTACTTTATCTAAAATAAATGAAAATACAAATTTTAAAAATAAAGTCATATTAAACTACCAAATCTACATTTGACCCAGACACTCCTTTTTTTTTTTTTGGCTCAAACACCTCATGGATTTTGTAGACTTTTTAATATATTGTTGATTTTTTTCAACACCAATTGAAAAGTTTTCAAAACCCACTAAAACAATTATTTTATCCTTTCACCTTGATTGATAAACTTAAGATCATAATTTGGCTGAGGACCAAACTTCAAATTAAACTATTTTTGAACTTCACTCAAACTACACCTGCAGACATGTACAATCTCATTGAAATGTAGCCATGACAGATTTAAATCAAGACATAAATAAAAAATTTTAAAAATTAAAGTTCAATACCTGCCGTCATTTTTTCCAAAAGGTTCATCATATTTAACCCCAACCCACCAGCCAGGTTTGAAGTTTGTTTGCCCTAAAAAGGAGAAATGAGAATTACAATCTTTGGCCATTGCTGAAGAATGGAATTGAAATCACAGCTTAACAACTTCCAAATCTGAACATGTTGAATGGGCATGGCATTGTTCATCACCTTTCATAGCAACTCTTATTCATATTAAATTTGTTTACTGCCTTAGATGTTGAGCACTTATAAAAACTATTGAGCCTGAAAAGAGGTTGTTTTGTAATAACCCTGTCTTGAATACTAACCCCTTAAAAGATCTCATTAGCAATTCTCCTTACTGTCTGCCATATAATTCTTGTGATGTTAATTTGGAGAATTTGTTATTGGATCAACTAATAATCCCCCAATTAATACTTTTCTTTATTCTCATCACTTGTCTCCTTGATATTGTATGGATAAATTTTAAGGTGAAATTCTGTCTTGATCACTCACGGGACTCAACCCTTTAACTTCCAGAGGTGATTCACATGAAAATTCTCCCTATAAAATCCATACATTATTCAGTAAACAGGTAATGAGAATATTTGAACTTATCAGGTAGAAGCTG